CCCCTGCCGGGCTTTGGGCTCCTTGGTACTACACCAACAGGTTTGGGCCCTGCTGCACCTTTTTGTAGCACTAAGGACTGAACCCAGGAGGGCTCTACCGCTGAGCTATCCCCCTAGCCCTTTTTATGTTTTATTTTGAGATAGGGTCTCAGGTTGTCCAGGTGGGACTCGAACTTCCGATCCTCCTGGCTCAGCCTCCCTCCGTGCTGGAATTACCAGCACGGGCTACCGTGCCTGACTTTGCGCCCCTCCTGAACCTGCCTCCCCTTGGTTACATTTTTTCTCTCACAGAGGATGGAAGGAGAGGGTGCATCCATTGTTGCATGGCAACCAAGTCCGAAGTACACTCTTTACAGCAGAAATCTTTGCAGCCCTCTATGAGTAGCTGTCACCTTATCACTGAGGAAACCCAGAAGGCTCAGAGAGGGTCAGTGACTCACTCGAGCTTACAGAGTTAGAAATGACTAGGCTGGGGCTGGGTCTAAGGTCTGTCAACCCAAGCCTCCTCGGGATCTGAGCCATCATGCTCCCTGTGTGACCATGCTGGGCCCTTCAGTGCCCTTTCCCTCACATGTCCTGTGGTGTTCTCCCACCTCCCCAGCCTCACAAACCCAGACTCAGGATCCTCAGCAATGAGGACGCCATGGCTGTTTTCTGCCCTAAGCTGTGGCTAGGCACAGACAGTTCTGGGTTGAAATCCACAGGTGCTTCTTGCTGCTTCTTGCTGAGTGAACATGAATGTGCTTTTTAACCTACCTGGCCTTCAGGTTTATTACCTGTAAAGTGAGGAAGGTCATTCTGTCCGATACTGTATGATTGGGAAAACAGCCCACAGTGCTGTTCAGAGGGTAAGGCACAACGGAAGGCAGGAATGAAAGCAAAACAAGCCTGCATCCTTTTCACCCCCAACTTTGTCTTCCATGTGGGTCAGGAATGAGAAGGCCTCTTCTAGCCAGGTGCACGCCTATAATCCCAGTACTTGGGAGGCTGAGGCAGGAGAATCACTGTGACTTTGAGGCCAGCTTGGGTTAAACAGTGAGTGCAAGGCCAGCCTGCACAACAATGAAAGACCGTGTCTCAAAAAACAGCCTTCCTGGGGCTGAGGATTTAGCTCAGTGGCACAGCGCCTGCCTGGCAAGTGCAAGGTCGTGAGTTCGATTTCCAGTACCGGAAGAAAAACAAAAAAGCAAACAAAAAAACAGCCTTCGTGCCAGGCATAGTGGCACACGCCTGTAATCCCAGCACTCAGGCAGCCGAGACAGGAGGACTGTTGCAAGTTCGAGATCAGCCTGGGCTACAAAGTGAGCTCAAGGCCAGCCTGAACTGCATAGGCAGACCCTGTCTCAAAAAGACAAAAAAAAAAAACAAACCAGCCTTCCTTTAAAAAAAAAAAAAAAAAAAAAACCCCCCCTCCTTTAAAAAAAAAAAAAAAAAAAAAAGGCCTCTCTTGGCCCCTTCCTCAGCAATACAACCTGGGGCAAGGTCTGGAGTGTGAGACAGAAGACTCTACTTCTGAGCCTGTTCCCTACAGAATTTGGGGACTGTTCCAGGTTGACAGCAAGATGCTATTTTTGTGTGTTTTGTTGTGGTCCTTGGTATTGACCCATGGCCTTTGCACTGAGCTACATCCCCAACCATTTATTTATTTATTTATTTATTTATTCTTTTGAGACAGTCTTACAAAGTAGCTTGATTGCCCAGGCTGGGCTTGAACTTGTGATCCTTCTGCCTCATCCACCCAAAGGGCTGAAATTAGAGCAATGAGCCACCACATCTGGCCAAGCAGGATGCTGCAATGGAGTATGTGTAACCTGTGGAGTGCAGAGTCTGATGGGAGAGGGAGCCTGCCCAGACAGGTAGGGGACTTCTGCTTGGTGTGGACCACTGCGTACCCAACCCTCACGGCTTCCCAGGAACCAGGGCCAGCACTTCCTAGGTGCTCAGTAAACACCTTGAGCAAAGGACTCTCTTCTGGATAGAGCTGTGACAATGCAGCAGGGGAGACAGCAGGGATGACTGAGGCCCCGGGTTAACATGGAGTGGAGGCCCCAGCTGCCCTTCATGCTCCAGACCCCACAGACATGTTAGGTGGGTGACAGGCTCCAAGGAGAAAAACACTCTTTCTCAGTAATCTCTCATGATCTGATTTGGTCTCCTACTGTTGACCCCCACTGACCTCTGTCCAACCCAGTCAATCTAAAATTTAAAAAAAAAAAAAAAAAAGCCAGGAATAAAATTAGTGAAAGATAGCAGAGAAGTCAGCTGTGAGGCACTGAGATGCCAGCACAGTTGGGGGACCTGCCGACATGCTGCCTGCCCTCTGGGCAAGGTCCTCCAGCTGGGTAATGGCCTGGTGTGTGCTCCAGCAGCTTGGGTCCTGCTCTGTCCTCTCCCACCGTTTCTGTCCTTGATCTTTGCCCTTTCCTCCCAGCCCCTGCCTTTTGTGAGGCCTCCACCCTTGGGAAGGTTGCTCACCTCCACCCTCCCTACCCGGGCCAGAGCTGCTTCATGTCACCAGGTGGGCTCGAACATGCAATCCCAGCACTCTGGGATCCCAAACTGCATCCTTCCTCCTCACCTGGTGAGGGGACAGGAGACCTTGAACTCTGCCCAGCCTGCTCCTTTTCCTCTCCCCATCTCTCTGCTTCCCAGTACAAGTGGTGCCAGGCCCACTCCTGTGCCCTCCAGGTGTGCTGCCTGCTGTTGCTTAGCAACAGCTAGCCTCTTCCCCAGACCTTGCAGCCTCCCCTGGCTGCTCTAGGAGCAGCACCGGCTGCAGAGAGCTGGCTGGACCTTACTGATGGGGAGTGTGTGGGAATAACCCCAAAATAGGGCTGGATGTGAAACCCAAGGCTCTTTTCACACTCAGGCCCCCTTCCCATCTTCTGTCTGAGTGCAGAGGTCCCCCCTCCCACGGGGTTTGTCACCCCACCTTGTGTTCTTACGAGTCTGCCCCTTTTTCCCCCCTGGGCCTCTGGGGCCACTTCTGATCTCTCTCATTTGGAATCCAACGTCACTTTTGATGCCCCCCAGTCCCTTTGTCCATCCTATAATTTCTGTTAAACATGTATGGCTCTCAGGCCTCTAAGAATGCTACAATACGTCTCTTTTGTGGTACTGAGGATTGAACCCAAGGCTTTCATGCTGAACCACATCCCAGCCCTTTTTCTTTTTTTTTATTTTTGAGGCAGGGTCTCACTAACACACTAAGTTGCCTAGGCTGGACTTGAACTTGCAATCCTCCTTCCTCGGCCTCCCAGAAAGATGGCAGGCCTGCACCACCACATCCAGCTCCTCAGCCTCTCTTGTACCTCTTCCTGCCAGACTGTGTAGCTTCTAGTTGCCCCTTCAGTAACATGAGTCCTCTGACTGCCCACCTCCAAACGCCAGTCACTGTGGTAACCCCATGTTGCCAGTACTACAACTATCTATGATCCTTGTTCCACCCTTTTGAGGAAAGGCCTGAAGTGGAGGGGTCACAGAAGAAGCCCCAGGAGAGATCTGCTTTTCTCACTTGGTCTGAGCTGAGCTTTGGCTTCAGTGGAAACTGACACTGGACTTGGGGCCAATGAGGTGAAGATCAAGCCCAGAAAAGAAAGATGAAGTTTTGCAGCCTCACCTCCATCCCTTCAGCTGTAATGGCAGAGTTCCCAAGAGGAGCTCTGAGTGGCTCACTGCTGGCAACAGCCGGGAACTGCTCCACCCAGACAGCACTCTCTGCCTCCAGCGGACAGTGAACGGCCACCAAGGGCATGGCTTCCATCTCCCTGTCTCCAGGTCCACCCGCATGTCCTCTGCCGTCTCACCTCCCTCTATGCTTGGGTCTGACAACACAATCTGTGGGAGAAGAGGCCAGGACGAGGGAACAGGACAGAAAGGGACAACTGAGAGGAGTAAGCAGTGGGGGCGGGAGGGGGCATGGGCCAGCTCCCAGGCCAGTCAGGGGTTGCGGGACGCAGCAAAGCCGGCCAGACGCAGCTCCAGGATCAGGGGCCTAGAATCTGCCTCCAGCTGAAGAAGCCGGGGGATGAGCACAAGGGGGACTGTCAGGCTTGAGGCAGGATCAAGTGACCTCACCCAAACCCTGTGGTCTGCTGCTGTTGCAACCTGGCGAGTCTCCCGGCTCTCCTGGGTCCCCAAGTAGGAGAGCTTTTTATAGTTCACGCCTCAACTTGGGTTTGAATAATTAAGTAAGATGGACAGAAATAGTAGCTGGACAGTGAAGCCAGGTTATTTTGGGGTTTTCTGGAACACAGTGCTCCTGGGTGTCACCCCACCCCAGCAGAGAAGGTGGAGCCAGCATAAGGCTGCCTGCTGGGAGATTTCAGTCAGGGAAGCCTCCCGTACCCCCAGGGCTCAGCGGCGGGAGGGTCCCCCCACTTCTCCCTCCTCTCAGAAGACAGGGCTTTTGCTGCTCCCTTCTGATCCTAGCTACTCCCTGGCAGGAAGAGCCTTCTGCTGTCAGACCCCTTACTTCAGAGATGGTGACAGATATTGACAACCAGATCGATAAGCAGCTGCAAGACAGGCTGAACCAAGAGAAGGTGGCCCTGTACCTCTGGAATCAGGTGACAGGAGGTCACTGGGCAGCTGTGGAGGGAGTGGAGGTGGGAGTAGTGGGACACAGAGCTAGGGAGAGGAGAGGAATGGGTGGAGGAAGGATGGTGGGTGCCAGAGGAGAAAAGGCCTGAGGTGCATGATCGTCTGAGTAAGAACGTCCCCTCTTCCAGCTCCCTTTCAGTGTCGGCCTGTCCTGAGTTTCCTGGGGACTTGGAGAGCCCCCCTCACCCCAGTCTCACCTTAGACCAATCACTTGCGGCTTGTTTGCCCAGTGCCTTTGGTTCCCCTGCAGAGATGAGATGAACCCCAACTACCTTGAGGGTTTACCGAAGATTTTTAAAATCTGGGGGGCAGAGTGGGCAGGGAAGTTCGTAATGCTTTCTCCCTTTGGGTAACAGTCTCAGGTGGGCTTGGAAGTCAGATTCTGGAAAATACTGAAATCATTCACTCGTTCATCTTTATTCATTCAACAGACCAGTTAAAAGCCTCAGGTTACACTTGGTGTGGAGTATACATCAGTATGGCAGGGGCCTCATTCTTTTTTTTTTTTTTTTTTTTTGGTGCAGGGAATCAAACTTAGGACCTTGCACTTGCCAGGCAGGTCGCTGCTGAGATATATCCCCGGCCCCAGGGACCTGTTCTTAAGCCCATAAATGTGGAGATGGTATCTGCAAACCCACTCCTCACTGCTAGTGGGTGCTTGCTGTGCCAATACGTACCTCCCAGAAACTTTCCTATTTAACACTCATAGCAAGTATGGTCTAAGTCACACTGCTTCATGCATGGGTTATAGCAATAAGACACAGAGACATGTTGGAGGTCACTGAAGCCGATAACAGTATAAACAAAGTGAGAACTCAAGCTTATAGATCCCAAATTGTATGGTCTCCATCACTGGGCAGAAGTCCCTAACACAGGGAAGCAAGATATTGGTTTATTGTATTCAAAAGAGTGAGACTGCCTTTAGCTGAGTGTGTCTGCTACACAAGCAGGGTAGGGCAATCAGGGAAAGCCTCTTAAAGGAGGTGGCTTAGCCAAGAACTCGAAAGACTAACACTTTCACTGTGCAAATACTTAAATGAGAATCTACTATGTGCTCTATTCCAGGTGCCAAAAACAGAAGTGAACAAAGTCCTTGCACTTGTGGACATGGATGGCAGGGATAAAGAAAGACAGAAATCATTAGTCTTAAAGACCAAGCCTCCTTTACCTTCAGAATTGTTCTGCTCCTCCTCCCAGATGCAAATACCCAAACTTCTGAAATGGAAAAGAACGGCCTGGCTTACAACAAACCCTGTAGGGGCTGGGGGAGGATATAGTTTAGTGGAGTGTGTGTTAGCACTTGCCAGGCGCTCGCGCGCGCGCGCGCACGCACACACACACATACACACACACTGCGCCCTCCTATTCTGAAAGTGCTTCCTAAAGTCTACCCAGCATTTCTTTCTGTTTCAACACATTTTCCCACATACCATTTCATTATTCCTTTCCAAAATCAACCCTCGCAGCGGTAACCCGCGGGCCGGCAGCGACTGGCCCTTTAAGGCTACCTTCTTCCCCCCACGTGCCGTCTGGTTGGGCTGGCGACGCTGACGCACGCGTGACGTCAATGGCAGCTGGCGGAGTCTGGGCACGAGGAACGAAGTTGGAATGGGGGTGGGGGACCCGGGAAAGAAGGTGGCTTATTTGCATTTAAAGGGGCCACTCCCGAGTTAGCTGATCAGAGCTTTAAAGAAATGTGTTTCCTTCAAACTTTCTGTCCTGGGGTACAGAAAAAGGAGTGGTGCAGCTAAAGTCGGTGGTAACTCGAGTTTGCGCTGTCAATTATGTCCTTCCGCGGAGAGAAGGAAATAGTCCGCTGGTGACCAAGCTGGGAGCACGTGACCTGGAGGGGGCCGATGGGGGGGCAAGAGAGAAGGAGGGAGGAGCTGTGGAGAAGACTGTCAGGCTGCGTTACAGCTGCCCCCACCCCCACATCCTGCCCACCCTCCTGCAGCTGCCACCACATCCTGCCCAGCCTGGGGCAGAGAGCTCAAGTGGGGGGATGCACTGACCCAGGACCCGGCTTTGGCACCCACTCCCAGCCCCCTGAGCTCCGGGGTGGGGCCTCTGCCCTTTGCCCCAAGTCTGGCCCCAGGCACCCTGGCCGAGTTGGGGCATGCTCTGTCACTCCACCCTTGGACAGCACTCTGCCTGATTCTGCCCTTCTTCCCCCAACCCTGGCCAGATGCGGAGCTTGTAGGGGTCCCAGATCAGACCCCTATCCATGTCTGAGCTAGCATAGTTCTCCATGGACAAATAGAAGTGTTCAATAAAGTTTTTATAATCTCAACGCAGCTGCACATGCGCGCGCACACACACATATACACACACACACACACAAACACACACACAGATTTCTGCAACACATTTGCTGAGCTCCTTCCGGGCTAGCCCTAAAGAACCTTGAAGACCGAGGTTGAGTTAGTTTGCTGTCCTCTAAGAGCGCAGACTCTCGTCAGGAAGAGTAAACTGAAAACCACAATGTCAGTATAGTGACTGTGCTGTGTGCTGAGAGGATCCACAGAAGAGTGCTTAAGATCAGGCACAGGGTGCCAACCAAGTCCATGCAGAATGTGTGCAATGAACTATGGTACACCTGCTGATGGTCCTTCCCTACACGTGCAAGGGAGCAGATGTGGGGAGAGACTATGGCCTTGGCTGCAATCACTCAAAAACTGGAGGATAGAAGGGATAAGGAGGGTGGTGACAGGGGGGTTGGAGATTGACCAGATGGTAGTGGAGCAGGTGAGAGGCTGCCATTCAGCAGCTCCCTGGATTATGAAACCATGGGCAGGTAAAGAAACAGTCAGGGGTAGGGGTCTGGATGAGGAATAACTTCCAAATGAAGTTGGATTAGGGAATGAAGTTTGGGAAGGGGCAAAAAAAGGAACACAGATTGCCCTCAGCCACATAAACTTACAAAGACATAAACTTACAGAGACATAAAGTTACAAAGACTTACTACAGAGAGGAGTGGACTTCGGTGGGCACCAGTGTCTGGCTCCTAGGGGATTTTACAGCAGCTTTGGGCTTCTAGGTGACTTTTCTCTAGATGGACAGGCAGTCAGAAGTAGGGTAGGAAAAATGAGACCCAATGATCTGAGCTTGCTCAGTCCTTTTAAACCCAGAAGATTCTGGGATGAGAAATCTAGCGGCCTGGAGAGAAGAGATGTAGTGAGTCACTTTCAGGAATTCCTCATTTCCACCTAACTTCCAGCAACATTACTCCCTAGACCCTTTTAGTCTTCCCTGAAATCAACACTTCATGATGTTACTTTTCCTCTCCATGAAGCTTTCTCTGTATTCCAAATTCTGTGCCACTTTTAGCATCACCACCTTATCTGTTCTCTAGTGAGTTACCACAAGAGCATGTCAGGGTCCAGGACACTCCAACTCACTGCCTGAGCTTTTCCCTCCACTCCCTTTTCCCTCAGGTTCTGGGCCCTTTAATACCCTCCCCAGGTGACTTACCTTCCTTCCTCATTCCTTTGTGCAGGACCCAACATTCCATGGCTGGGAGGACCAGCTAGCCAATCAGAGCCCTGGCAGGCCTGCTGCGAACGGGAGATTGGCTGGAGCTGTGGTTGGCGGGAGGCTCACCATGAGACCTGCAGGAGGATGGGGAGGGGGTTTCTGGGAATCAACCCTGGGAAAGAATTTGTTCTGGGGCTGCTTGTGTTTTTGGAGAGAATCCTTCCAATAGAGCTGGGGCCAGAGGGTCCTCTGACTTGGAAAGCCTCCCAACTGGAGGCAGGTTGAGAACTCAGCACTCTCCGTCTCTTGGGGGCTTGGCTCCCCCTTGCCCATTCTGCCCCCCCACCCCGGATCTGGGACCCAAGGTCTGAAGTCTGTGTTCCCAAGCCTGTTCCTAAGAAGTCTTTTCCAGCAGCCTTGGATGTCTCCAGTCTCAACATTCTGCTTTCCCGACGTCGGAAACAGCCGGAAAATAAACACCCTGATGACTAAACGGTTTCTCCAGCTAGAGCCTGGGGAAGCACTAAAAATAGAGGCCACAAGTGAGGGGAGGTTCCCCACTGGTGGGGGCACTTTCCCATCCTGCGACTGCCGTAGCCTCAACCCTTGCACAAATCTCTGGTTCTCCAAGTCCTTGGGGAAGGGATGGATGGGCTCTCCCTGCTTAGCCTGAAGTCTTTGGGGCAAGCTAGCCCTGTATGGCAGGGAGCCCTGACATCCTCTGCTGTTCGCCCCATCTCCCACACTAATGAGGAACTGCATTTGGGGAGAAGGTGGGACACCAAAAATCAGGTTTCCTGAAAGAGGGACCAGATAGAAGTGTTGGAAACTGAGGCTAAGGCAATAGGAGCCTGCTGGCTTCCTGTCCAAATAAATACATCCTATCTGTAGAACAATCTGTGGAACTTGACTCCCTCCGGCAAGCCCTAGGGGTCTTTTCCGACTAACCCTTGGCCCCATGGTCTGAGCTGAAGTAATGCAGCATGATGCACTGTACTAAGCTGTACTAAGTGGTCCACTTATATGCACTAACTTCACCCCACATTTATGAATTAGGGACTATTATCACCATCCCTATTTTGCTCACGAGGATCATGAGGTAAAGCAAAGTTAAATAACATGCCTGGGTTTACATCTTGAATAAGTGGTGGAGTGGGCACTTGAACCTACGTGGCTAGGTGGCACAGTCAGAGTTCCCAAGCACCCTACCATGCTCCTCTTTCTGCATATGTTGGTCTCTTCAGCACTAACCCAGAATTGAGTCTTTGTCTAGAAAATCAGGGCTAGAACGATAGAAATCAGGGTGTGTGAAGAACTGAGCAGCCTTCTGTTCTTCAAGATTCTTTAAGATCTAAGCCAGATTCCAACATTTCCTCAAGCTCCAGGTAAAAAGCAGCAGGATTTGTAAGCATCAGGGATGCTGGCCAGGAAGCCTGATGGGCCAGTCGTCCAGACCAGGACACCCACACTCTTGTTGTAAGACACTTAACATTCGCCACGCCCTGAGGCAACTAGGAATTTAAAAAATATTGTTTTAAAAAGGCTGCTACTGCTTCTTTAATAAGACACTTCTGGGTGTTTCCTGTGAAGTGGTGGGGGGCCTAGGGTCCCGCCCCTTTAAATTGCCCCCTCCGCTTAAGAGCGCTGGGGCCCACACCCCTGAAGATTAGGTCACCCTAGAACGATGAGCTGTCGCTTTAAATTGCTGGGCGTCTGCCCAGCCGTGCCTGGGAGGGAAGGGGCTGTCACTGGTGGAGGCAGCGACTGAGCTCCCCAGGTAGCACCCCCGCCCCTAGAAAGAACGTGGTCTCTTAAGTGAAGCTTTGTCACACTCCAAGTGGGGGAGACGCAGCCCGTTCGCCACTTACAGTCTCCCCTGCATCCACCTACTTAGAACCCCACCTCCCAACTCTCCAGGGCCCGGGCGGGCGCGGCGCCAGGTCGTGTGCGTGTCGCCGCCAGCCTCCCCGGGAAGACCTCCAGGAGCGCGGGGCTGAAGTGCCCGGCCGTCCGGCCAGCTCGTAGGGCCCCGCGGGGGCAGGCCCCTCCCGGGAAGGTCTCTGCGTTTCGCCTCACCCTCCCTCCCTGCAGGCGGAGGGATCCGCAGCTCCCGGGCCGCGGTCGAGCTCGGGAGGCGGCGGGTGGGGTGGGGGCCGGCCCGCCTCGGCCGCCCGGGGAAGCGAGGGGCGGGACCGCGCCCTGGGTCCACCCCCGACCGGGCCCCGCCCCCCGCCCCCATGCGTCTCTCCCATTGGTGGCGCCACACGTCCATCGCCCTGGCGCCCCGCCCCTCAAGCTAGGCTGAGCTGTGCCTACGTCGGCCTCGAATCCCGGGGGCTGGAGGAGTTACCTTTGGATCCCGAAAGGAGGAAGGAAGCAAAATATCAACAACAGTCGGAGCGACTCGGGCGCTCTGCCCCGGTCCCCCGCTCGTCCACCGCCCGTCCGCCTGCCCCCGCGCGCACGACGGGGGCTCGGACCCCCGGCGCCGCCCAGGGCCCGCGCGGACGTCGGCCTCGTCTGTGATTCCCCCGCCCGGTGCCCCGGCTTCCCGGGGTTGAAGAGCCTCCGGACTTGGGGCCAGGGCCGCCCGCTCCCCGTCGTGACACCTCATTCCCCTCTGCGGGGCTGGTGAGTAGAGAAAAATAGGGCGCCTGCCGCTTTAAGAGGCCCCCTCCCCCACCCGTCGTGGGGCCGGGGTGGAGGGGTCTAGACCGTCCCCCGCGGTGGAACGGACCGCCCGGGCCGGGACTGGCGGCGCGGCGGAAAATCGCGAGGGGACTCTGTGTGGGGAGTCGCGGTGGGGACCTGGCTGGGCTGCAAGTCCCCGGGGCTTGCAGGCTCTGGGTGGGGCGGCGGGCAGGCTGGGGGCGCGCCGGCTGCGGGCATTCGGGGTGACGACGGCCTCCGAGCGCGCGGGGCAGGGGCGCCGTCCACGGAGGGGGTCTCTGGTGACAATCGGAGCACTGACATTTTAACAGCCGGCCCTCCCCCCTCCCTCCTCTCGCCGCCTGTCCCCTCCTCCTTGGCCCGAAATGGTGCAGAAGGGGGCCTGGGAGGGCGGCGGGCGGGTGGGGGCGGGGGCAGCCGCAGCTGTTTGGGAAGCGGGGGAGGGAGGGGGATGTTGTTCAGATGACACCGGGGTGGTGGGTTGGGGTGTGAGCGCGTGTGTCTTGGGGCCGTGCTTGCCCGGTGCCTGCGGAGTTAGGACGCGGAGTCGCGCCAGAGGTTGGCACGCAGGACCCTCCTCGAGACCCACTAGCCCCGCTTCTGAGACCCCTCATCAGGGTTGTCAGCAACCCCAGCTGGAGAGCCCCCCCCCCCCGCCAGAAGTTTGCAGCTGTTCAACATCTGGGCAGGAGTTCTCCAGTCTTCTCTCCACCTATGGCAGGCTGAACTGGGCTGGGAGAGGGGTCAGTCTAGAGACCGCTGGGGGACCCGAGGAGGGAGGGCCAAGCAGACTAAGGTGCACTCAGTCTCGCACCACAGTATCAGCCTGTTCCCATCTGGTGGTTTTCACAGGGACAGGGAAAGGAGGCTGTCCCCCTGGGGATTCGTGCTGACCGCTTGCACTCTTCCAGCTCCTTCTAGAAGAGGAGGACTCCTGGGTAGGGGCACACTTGGGGCCACTGTCTGGGTTATCCTGTGCCTGTCATTCTGCCTCCCTTACCTCCTGCATTGTTGCTGGGCTGGAGCGGGCAGGGAGGGCAGATCCTGTATGCCCGAGCCTAGCCCTCCTTCCCCATTTGTGTTCTTGAGAGGTCCGGTTTCTTTGGGTTGGGGGGTGGCTCTTATCGCCCACTCCCATCCCCTCAGTGGGTCTCCACGGCAGTTCAGGGGCCAACCTGAACTATGGGAAGTTTGCCGTCTGGGCCGGTGACCTTGGGCTGCTCTGGCCTGGAGATAGGGGAGCCTGGGCCGGCATGAGATTAGGTGCACTGCCATTAGGGAGCTGTCCTCTCCTAGGCCCCAGCAAGCCCCCAGCAGGGAGGTCTTAGTATTTGAGGAGAGCATTGAAAAAGAATATGTCTATTCACAGATGTCCACTCGCTTGTGGCCATCGGGTCACACTGACTCCAGCACTTGCCTGGCTGTCCCAGCTCCCACGGCCTGCCTGGGAATGAATTTCCTTCCTGTGGTTTCCCAGTGTGTTGGCAGGAGGTGGGGGTGGGGTGGGATCAGTGTAGGAGTGGTTGAGGACCTTTTTATATGGACTAACCGGGGGACACTGGAGCTTGTATGTAGCTCTTTTCTCACTTGCCCCAGGACTGGCATTGGGCCTTTGAGTCTCTCTCAATGATCATATTCTGTTGTAAGTCCCTTGTTCCCCTGTCATAGCTTTGTGTGTTTGCATGTGTATATGTGTGTGTGTGTATACTTGTACGAGTTTCTCTGGGCTAGGGAGTTTTCAGTCACACCACTGTTGTGACCAGAGAAGTTGAGGTTTTTCCTGACATCACACAGCAAATCCATGTCAGAGTATTAGTCCTGTCCTTTTGGGCCTACTGCGTAGTACAGAGGAACTCTAGGAAGGAAGAAATACACGCCTTGCTATTTGAGGCCTTGGTCCAAGGGGAGAAAGAGGACCCAGACAGAGAGCATGGCAGCCCTTGTGTTGGGGGAAGGGCATGGGTGTTGGGCGAGAGCTTCTGTCTGCTGTATCCAGTGCCTGAAGCTGAGTGGTGAAGGACTTGGAGTGGTGGCAGGTGCTCCTCATTGTCCATTCCACTGTGTGCCTGGTGGCCCTATACTGGAAGACCTGGGCTTCACAGATCTGCCCTTCCTGGCTCCTGGCTCTTCTCATAGCCTGGAAGATGTGATAGTCTTTCTGACTGCTGTTATATAATCTCTCTAGCAGGGCTTTTTTTTTTTTTTTTTTTTAAATCTTTCCTGGGAGGTGTGATAGGGAGGAGAAGGCGGAGGGCAGCTCCCCAGGTTGGGGACTGGAGAAGCAGCAGCAAGGCATCTGGGGGTGCCCTGGCCCTTGGGGGTTCTGGGGAGCCAAGGCCTTGCAGTTAGGCCATTATTGATTGTTGCCCAGCCCCTCCCACTCTCACTCATCTGATCCTGCCCTGGGAAGGGGCTTTTGCTGTGAACATCCCTGACCCTCATGTTGCAGAGAGTCTTGGACCTCTGCTCATCCTGCCAGCCTTCTCTTCCTGGTCAGCTGGGCCCCCTGCCCTCCCTGACTGGCACTGGGTATGCAGTTCTAGTGCTTGCCTTGGCCTGGTGTGGGCCCCTGGTGGACACTTTGCCACCCACCTGTGAGCCTCTTGGTGGAAGGGGATCCAGGGACAAATGTAGGCCCAGCATTTCCTGGCTGCATTTGAGCCAGCTCCTGCTTCTCAGCCCCTCTAGGCCAGACAGTGGAGGCCTTCGTGGAGGTGTTGTTGGGGCAGGCAGTACAGGACATCCTATTAGACAGTTGCAGTTGCTTTTCACTCAGGTTCTACAAGTGATGTAGGATCCCATGCAGTCCTAGAACCTGTCATCAAGGGTCACATTCTGGGTCTGTAGCACCATGGTGGAGAGGTTCTCTCCACCCCTTGGGACCATGGCTGGCCCAGGAGCTCTGAGACCATCTAGTTTGAGGCAATTACCTGTCTTTTACAGGGAAGAAGGAAGGAGGAGATTGTGGCAGGGCCAGCACAGCCTTAGCATCACTGTAATTGCTGGTGGCTTTTATGAGTCTGTCATGGGGCCGGAGTCCAGCCAACCTTCTGTCCTTCTGTCCCAGTTTGGTGACTTACTCATGGGGGGGAGAGGGTGGTGTTAGATGCCAAGAGTTCTGTTCTAGAAGCTGGACAGCTGGTTGTGTTGTGGTAGATGTTGTCTTGTCTGTCCATAATGACAGTAGGCTGGATGGAGCTTAGACTTCAGGAAGAACTTCCCAATGCAGCTCATCAGGAGGCTGAAGCAGGAGGATTGCAAATTTGAGGCCAGTCTGGACAACGCAGAGTAACCCTGTATTTTTTTTTTTTTTTTTTTTTTTAAAGACAGGGTCTTGCTATGCAGTTCAGGCTGGCCTTGAGCTCACTTTGTAGCCCAGGCTGGTCTCAAACTCACAGTGATCCTCCTCCCTCAGCTTCCCAAGTGCTGGGAATACAGGCATGTGCTACCACACCTGGGGAGACCCTGTCTTTAATAAATAAATAAGTAAATAATGTAGCTCTGTGGTAGAGCACTTGCCGGACATGCACAGAGCCCTGAGTTCAATTGCTGGTACTTCAGGGGTGGGGGATGGGGGAACTTTTCCAGTACAGCTGAGTTAGGAAGAGAAAGATGGCCCTTAAAAGGGGATCTCAAAGCACTTTCTTCTCCAGTACTCTGCTGAAAGGCCTTGACCTTTGGCCTGGTGGAGTTGGTGCTGTTTGGCTCCTGGAATATTTATTTTCCTTTCTGTCCTCCTGCTTAGGACAGACAGCATTGTGAAGAGAGTTTGTCCTGGAGCCTGGAGGACTGGCCTCTGGACTGCGCTCCCCAGCAGGGCTAGGTGGGGGTCATGCAGACTGGCAGGCCCAGGTGCACCTGGCAGGCCCACAGCATTTAGTGGCACGCATGCATGAAGGTGTGGGGTGCATACTTGGGTGTGTAGACACCCACAGAGCAGCTGCCACCCTGTGGGGGGTGGGGGTGAGCAAATGGCAAAGATGATTAAAGGATTGGAGAGTGAGGATGGGGCGACAGACCGGAGGCAAGGAGGCGAAGGGCACAGCAAGAACTCTGAAGCAAGGGGCATGGGCTGGAGCAGGAAGGACTGAGGTTAGACCACAGACGGGCAGGCAGGACCCTATTTGCAAAGTAAAGAGCATGGTTTGTGAGTTCAGGAGCCCTGGCTGACTTTCATCCCTCCCTGCCTGTCCTTCTGTGGTTCCCCCCACACTGGCCATGTGTCATTGGTAAGTCATCCCTTGGGGGCCTTAGCTTTCCAGGTGTCCCTGAGTTTTGCCTTTCAGTGATCTGAGCACCCAGGTGTTTGGGTGGTTTGTCTCTGGTCTCCGAAGAGTGAGGCCAGTCTGAGGATATAGGGCTGCATTTGCGCCCTCAGGCATCTAGGAGCAGACCCTCAGCCTGGGTGACTTCTTCCTTTTCCCAGAGCCACAGCCAGTGCCCTGGAGAGCCAAGGCAGACTTCTGGCCAGCACTGGCAGTTGAAGGCAGGGGGGCAGAGGGACAGGGGAATGTGTTCACAGACTCTACACAGGGCTTTGGTGCCTGCTGTCTGACCATCCTCCTTTCTGCTTAGGCTGGGAGGGAGGGACTTGTCCCAGGCTCTTGCCTGTGGCTGGCCACACCCAGGCGGGACCATATTTACTCATTTAGACGTGCCCTCCTGGGAGGCCTTGTGCCTGAGGCCTGGTCACTGGCCTTGGCTTGGTGCCCCTGGCCGGGTGCTCTGGGCCACTTCCCAAGAGGTGGGCAGACAGGCGAGCGCCAGGCAGAAAGCCTTCCCCTCAGGCATGATCCCACTTGCCCAGTTCTTCAGTATATGAAGTGCAGACCCCAAGCCTGAGAACTCTGGAGTGCCTTGGAGCTGGAGGCGGGAAGCCCTGTTTGTTTTGTGCCACCCTCTGTGATCACTGCCGTGACCTGTGTACATAGTTTGTCTACACAACTAATCTTTTTTATAAT